CATAATAAATCTCTTCACGTCTGTTATTATCGTCGTCGTCGTCTTAATCATAATTATATCAGAATATTTTGCATACATTGCGGTCATTCTTTTAATAGTTAATCATTTCAATGATAATCTTAAGTACTTTCATCATCGTCATTATAACCGTTATCATCATCTTCTTCATCTTCTTCACCCACCATTATCATCAGCATGTACACCAGCGTTTCGTCATCATCACCCTCGCCCCATCACCGCTGTCATCATCATCATCATCAAGTACTCAAACTGATACTTCTTCCCGGTTTAACTTCAGGACTGTTGTTGTCTTCTTCTTTCAGCTCTCCATTTTTTTTATCAGCTAACAAACGCTCAGCTCGGCGGGCAACCATCGTAGTCGGCGTGTAGCTGAACCTGTGGGCTTTCCCGTTCGGCTGCGAGTTCGACTGCTTTCGAGTCGGTGTCTCGCAGTCGCTATAGAAGCTCGGCTGACGTAGCGGCGTCAAACATTCGTCCGAATAATTAGTGTCGCAACATGACTTTAAAAGTAATCGCCGAAACCTTCTCTTGAAAATAACGTAGATGATGAAGTCTGTGCAACTGTTGAACAAAACGAGGAAATTACTGAAGTGGGTGACGTAGAGTAGTGTTTCAGGACAGACGACAGAGTCTATATTCTGGTGGATTCTGATGGATATGAGTATCCTATCCGTCAAATTGCAGACTAAGAACTCGATGCAGATGACGATCATGACGATGGTCAGGTTTCGGTCTTGTTGATCGCCTCGACTACAGACCGAGTTACGACGACGCATCCGTTGTTGAGACTTGCTGATGGTGAAGATGATAATAGAGTTGAAGAGGACGAGGAAGACAAACGGCATGATGAGAAGGACTATGGTGTAAAAGATGTCCAGATAGTAGTAGGCGAAAAATTCATCTCTCCCGAAGCTCGTCAGATTGGTGCTCATCACTGTGACGTTCTTGTTCTCTTTGCTTGGTAGCCAGACTATCTCATAGATGAAGAATCTTGGTAAGTTGAATGCTATTGATATGAACACGACAAACGCCACCTGATTGTTTGTAAAGGAAATTTTTTGTCTCGTAACTGTCGTGTTTTAATGTACTGCTTAAGATAAACTAGATATTATTCTAGCCATTATTATTATTATACAGATTTGATTTTGAAGAAATGTAAAATCTATTTTTATTCTGAAAAATTCAAAAGATGAAAATAAACAAGCAAGCAAACTAACAAACAAACTAACAAACTAACGAATAAACAAACAAACAAACAATCAAACAAACAAACAAGCAATCAATTCACAATTCATCCAGCCTACCTGCAACCTAGCAACGTTCAACGTCAAAAACTTGTCGCTAGTGAACGGCCGACAGACGACGAGAAATCTGTTGACGGCCAGCAGAACGGTAATCCAAACGCTCGTAAGATGGCAGATGTAGCTAAGGGGGTTTATGTAGGTTATGAAGATTGGATAGACTGGACTGACGAGGGGCCTTGTGTATGTCAGTTGACCCGGGCCGTACACTAGACCGATGATGAAAATGTATGACAGAACTAGGCAGTTGTCCGCGACTGAGAGGGACTGAAATTTGGGATGTTGGTTGCAGATAAGTTGGTTGCTGGTTGTGATGTTCGTTGTTGGTTGTGATGTTTGTTGCTGGTTGTTGCTTGAATGTTATTTGGTGATTTGGATGTTGGCTGAATGCTCTTTCGTAATATGGTTGTTTTTGTTTGGAGATTTTTGTGTGTCTGTGTGTCGGTTCTATTGTTAAAAAAGGTTTTGCTAATATGAAAAGAATCACCATTCAAATTTCAACAAACCAATCGTAAAATGGACACGATTATCGAAATTTTTTTAAAAATTTCACCAAAACATTTTACGAACCTTCAAGAGGAATGTTGCGACGGCATTGTTCTTATCTTTGCTAAGAACGTAGAACGATAAGGAATTCAAGACGAGTCCAATCATCCCGACGATGCTGATGACGACCGAACAGAAGATGAATGTTGCGATGTGGCACGGCGTGTCCACTTCAATTTCCAGTGTCTGGCTGTTTTTTTGAAGTTGATTTTGATTGGTTAGTACTTTTGTGGTTAATTTTTTAATGGTTGAGAGTTTAGTTTGATTGGTCAGCAGTTGATTTTAATCGAACAATAGTTAAATTTTATTGGTTAGTAACTAATTTTGATTTGTCATTAGTTGAATACGATTGGTTGCGAGGTAATTTTAATGATTTGCCAGTTATTTGTGATTGGTTAGTTATAAATGGTTACCTTCTATTTAATGTGCAATTACCAAACGGATCGCCACAGGAAATGTTTCCATCACTGACGATATTCGAATTACCGACAATGTCGATATCGTCGGTACTACTCAACGACGAATAATCGATCGAATATTCGTTCAGCAAATCCGATGCTACGATGGAAAAACTGCTCTTGGCCTCATAATCTGTTATGTCAAACATCTTTCCAGTGTTGTTGCAGAGTTTGGAGGAAATGGTTAATTCCTAAGACCTGGATGATTTTGCATTGTATTTTATGAAAATGTATGCATTTGTGTTGCATCTTTGTTGTATCTCTACGTATTTGTATGTGTTTGTATGTATTTGTATGTGTTTGTATGTATTTGTACATCATTATTGTATACAAAAACGTATTCATATATTAAAATCGTTAAGTGTATGGATTAATATGTTGTATCATATTAATGTTGACACCATTATTGCAATATTGACGATACAAAAACAAATTAATACTAATTCATTCATATCCAAACACTGATTTTATTCGAAGTTTGTCTAAAATGTATTTAACAAAAGCTGATTTTTCAATAGTTTCACTGAAATTATCAAATGTTCGTCTAGCATTTTAATTAATTTAATTAAATTTATTTAGTTAATTAATTTCTCATTTTCGGTATTATTTTTAACGTCTCTTCAAATGCATATTTTACTTGATGAAATTATAAGCGTCTGCGAAAATGATAAGCATAAATTTTTATCTAATAGATGATTTTAGCAATTTTTTTTTGAAAAATTAATATTATGTCATTTTAGATCTAGCAATATAAGATCTGCTACCAAATGGCACTTTTAAACGAAAATTGGATTGAAGAAATAATTAAAATAACAAATAATAATAAAAATAGAATAAATAATAATAAATAGAAACCTACTAAATGTGTGTCGTCAACAATGACGTCATCAAGCCAGATGACAGCGGCGGTAGCAACAACAGCGTCACTGACATTAACTTGAAAAACATTAAGTTCCCTAGTTGCCAGCTCATTAACATTGAAGTTTTGTTATCTGTTTGTTTGTTCGTTTGTATGTTTGTTCGTTTGTTTGTTTATTCGTTTGTTTGTATGTTTGTTTGTTCGTTCATTCGTTTGTTTGTTCGTTCGTTCGTTTGTTTGTTTATTTACTTACTTATTTATTCAACATACCATAATTACTTGATTTTTGCTTAGTTTTTCAGTAAACCAATTAATTAAACAATTATTTATTTATGTATTTTACATTTAAATTTGGTAAATAAAAATAATAATAAGAGAAATAAATTAAATTAAATTAAAAAAACGTTTATCGATCTTAAAGATCTTAAACAAATAAATAATAATAAGAAGATATAGAGTTAACTAAAATACACTACATACATGAGCTACGGGTTTTTGCTTTGCCTGATATGAATTGTTTTACGCTTCTTATATATCTTTCAATAGTTATACAAGTACCAACAAATATATTTATACATGTGTGTGTATGTATATATATATATATATATATGTGTGTGTGTGTGTGTGTGTGTATGTATATGTGTGTGCATGTGTGTGTGTGTGGTGTGTAATTATGTATAACATATACATGTGTAAATATATATATATATTAGCAAAGCAATTATTTGTAATCAAAGAATGATGTATGTACGAATCGTTATGCTTGTAAACTCTGGTAAGATTTTGTTCGTGTGTGTGTGTGTGTGTCTGTGTTTGTGTGAGTGTTTGTGTGTGTGTGTGTTTGTGTGAGTGTTGGTGTGTGCGTGTGTGCCATTTTACAGTTATAAATAGCCGGCATAAAATCTTATTTACATTTTGTTTTATAACTACTTTTTTGCTTTGCTTGCCACCATTCATTCAGATGTACAGAAACCAGATGTAATAACAAAAGTAATAATAATAATATAAATAATAATAATAATAATAAAAATAATAATAATAATAATATAAGATCATCATTATACCATCATCGTTTTCTTCATTATGGGTAATACAGATCATCATTGTTATTCATATCACCATCATATCGGTTTAATCACCACCATGAATTGCAATAATAATAATTAATAACATTAATGAGGATGAAGATTTCTAGTACAAGTTGCACACGTACACATACATTCACACACACATTATACATATATACATACATGTATACATACATACATACATACAAACATACACACATACAAACACCTAAAGATATTAATACAAAGTTTTCATTATCAAGGTCAAAAAACTCATTATTCATAATCATCCTCATCGTCATCATCATCATTCATAATCATCATCATCATCGTCGTTGTCCATCGTCGATGATGATGATGATGACCATCATCATCATCGTCATCATTGCTCTTATTCCCAATGAACAGCATTAATTATTCAGAAGAATAATAGCTCAAATCAAAAAGTAATTAGTGAATATATAAATACACCCACACGCACAGACACACACACACACACACACACACGAACACACATACACACACAATGAAGAACATATATAGAACAACTTAGAATTTTTTAAAAAATGGTTTGGTTATATCTTCGTACATTTCTTCCAATTCATTCATAATAAATCAATGTATGTTGATTTATTACCGCACGCATCAGAACAAATACCCAAACACACAAACAAATACACAAGTACACATACAAAAACACATCCAAATACATATACAAATTCTCGAATACACATACAGACGCAAGTAAACATACAAACAAACAAACAAGCAGAGGCAAACATCAATCTATTGACCTAATGTATTATTATACAAGATGCGTTTGCGATATTGGAGGCTGGTTTGACCGCGGAATTTTTTCAAGAGGTTTTGTGGTGTTTTCTGTGAGAATGTGTGCATTATTGCTTTTATTTTCGCCTGTTTGTATATGTGAATGTGTGTGTGTAACTGTGTGTTTGTTTGTGTATTTGTATGTTTGTTTCTGGGTGTGTATATATAGAGTTTATGCACCTAACTGTGCGTATGTGTGTGTTTATATTTGGGTATTAGAATGTGGGAACTGATGTTTTCTATTTGTATATATGTATTTGTGTATATGTATCTGTGTGTGTGTGTTTGTGTGTATCTGTGTGTGTGTGTGTGTGTGTGTTTGTGTGTATCTGTGTGTGTGTGTGTGTGTGTGTTTGTGTGTATCTGTGTGTGTGTGTGTGTGTGTTTGTGTGTATCTTTGTGTGTGTGTGTGTGTGTGTTTGTGTGTATCTGTGTGTGTGTGTGTGTGTGTGTGTGTGTGTGTGTGTGTGTGTGTGTGTGTGTGTGTGTGTGTGTGAATACTTGCAATCTATTGTTCAATATGAAAAGATTGAATGTTTGAATGTTGTTTTGTTAAGTTAATTAGTTGTTTACTGTTGGTGTCGTTGTTTGCGAGAGCCGACATTTACTTACATCGTCGTCATCATCACCATCATTGTTGTGGTTGTTGTCGGTTGTTGTCGGTTGTTGTGGGTGTTGTTGTTGTTGTCGGTTGTTGTTGGTTGTTGTTATCATTTTGCCATTTTATCATCATCTCAACTTTCCATCAATCAATTTCATTCATACAACTCCATCCCAATCATTATAACTACGACTATCTATATATCAATCCTCACAGTGGCATGTTCAACGATTCTCCTGGAAAAATTGAAATAAAAAAAAAATTTTGTAGATTTTTTTCACATGTTAACAAAATGTATTCACTATTTAGTTTATTAATAACATTGTATCTTCTTCGAATCTGTTTGGCTAGAGTTAGTTTTTTTTTAGTTTCAAAAACACAAACGTTGACAGTTAACATTACACACGTGCGTATAAAAATGGCATACACACGTGTACACACATAGCCAAAATAGAGATTAAACATCGTAAAAGATGGTTTTGACCCAATGAAAAAAATTAATAACAAAGAAAGGAGTTTTTTTATTTTCGTATGTGTAAAAATTTTTTAATGATATGAATGAAAAAATTAGTTTCAAAGTCATTTGTCTCTGGAAATAAATAAATGAGTGAATAAATGAATGAATGAATGAATTAAATGGATGGATTGAATGAATTAATGGATAGATTGATGAATGGATGAATGAACAAACAAGCAAACGAATGAATGGATACAGATCATAGAGATATACTGCAAGTAAAAATGAATGGAGAATCGATACACATTATTAT